CACAAAAATATCCTCAATGAGGATGATCTGTTCCAACAGGTGTACAGAACTTCACAGAGAGCCAACACTGACAGGCCGGATGCATGCACTGTGAAATTAGCAGCTTTGATGACGTCAAGCATCTCGTTACACATCTCGTTACACCAATGTAACAATTAAATACACGACAATTGTCTGGCTAACTTGTTTCAATTAATCAAGTTAAATACTCTGCATACCAACCTCTCCCATAGGAACCCTCACATAATGGTGCGATATGGCAGTATTAAGGTATAGAGAATAATGTAACAATTAAATACTCTGCATATCAACCTCTCCCATAGGAACCCTCACATAATGGTGCGATATGGCAGTATGAAGGTATAGAGAATAATGTAACAATTAAATACTCTGCATATCAACCTCTCCCATAGGAACCCTCACATAATGGTGCGATATGGCAGTATGAAGGTATAGAGAATAATTTAACAATTAAATACTCTGCATATCAACCTCTCCCATAGGAACCCTCACATAATGGTGCGATATGGCAGTATTAAGGTATAGAGAATAATGTAACAATTAAATACTCTGCATATCCAACCTCTGGCCCATAGGAACCCTCACATAATGGTGCGATATGGCAGTATTAAGGTATAGAGAAGTAATGTAACAATTAAATACTCTGCATATCAACCTCTCCCATAGGAACCCTCACATAATGGTGCGATATGGCAGTATGAAGGTATAGAGAATAATGTAACAATTAAATACTCTGCATATCAACCTCTCCCATAGGAACCCTCACATAATGGTGCGATATGGCAGTATTAAGGTATAGAGAATAATGTAACAATTAAATACTCTGCATATCAACCTCTCCCATAGGAACCCTCACATAATGGTGCGATATGGCAGTATTAAGGTATAGAGAATAATGTAACAATTAAATACTCTGCATATCAACCTCTCCCATAGGAACCCTCACATAATGGTGCGATATGGCAGTATTAAGGTATAGAGAATAATGTAACAATTAAATACTCTGCATAACCTCTCCATAGGAACCCTCCTCGATATGGCAGTATGAAGGTATAGAGAATAATTTAACATAGACACTGCATATCAACCTCCTAGGAACCCTCACATAATGGTGCGATATGGCAGTATGAAGGTATAGAGAATAATGTAACAATTAAAGACACTGCATATCAACCTCTCCCATAGGAACCCTCACATAATGGTGCGATATGGCAGTATGAAGGTATAGAGAATAATGTAACAATTAAAGACACTGCATATCAACCTCTCCCATAGGAACCCTCACATAATGGTGCGATATGGCAGTATTAAGGTATAGAGAGTAATGTAACAATTAAATACTCTGAATATCAACCTCTCCCATAGGAACCCTCACATAAAGATGAACCGTGGCAGTATTAAGGTACCGTATATGACCGTCTATAAGACGACCCCATGGATAAGACGACCCCCAAACTTGACCCTTAATATCAGTGTCAAAATGGTATGTTTCGTGCATAAGTCGATCCCCCGCGATGGGGTCCTAATCGCGGCAAACACAGACCACAGAAAACTGGCAGTTACCAATAATTATAACTTTGGTCCACATTATTCAAAGAATTCACTGTCATATATATTGTGTCTACTCACGGATCGAAACGAAGTGTAGTTAACAGAAAATGCATAATATATTTTGCTTCTCTAAATATCATATTTATTGCAGCAACAAACTGGCTTGCCTATTTTACCCCATTCAACAATCACGAACTGATTACCGCCTCGTTTTCCATTGACTGCTAGTTTACAGTAACATCGGTAAAAATGTGTGAATTTAAATGGCTTCCGTATTTTACCCCATTCCATGTGCTTACCACGTTCATGAGGGTCCGTATAACCCTAGTGTTGATTATATATATTTTACATAAAAACTGTAAATAAAATTACACAATGCTAGGATATATTTCTTTGGGTTAAATAATAGTATTCTGTATTATATTTTACTGATGACTGCGTCAGAATTCATCCCGTTATATTATTGTGCATGTTTGAACTTGTTCGCCGGGAAACGTGTGCACAGCTGATTGCTATTTCCGGCTCAAATACACACGGTAATCTTAATTAATTTATAGAGCAAAAACTGTAACTAAAATTACACAATGCTAGGATATATTTCTTTTGGTTAAATAATGGTATTCTTTATTATATTTTACTGATGACTGCGTCAGAATTCATCCCGTTATATTATTGTGCATGTTTGAACTTGTTCGCCGGGAAACATGTGCACAGCTGATTGCTATTTCCGGCTCAGATACACACGGTAATCTTAATCCCTGCAAATAATACAATGCCCAGCAAAAATAACTTATAACTTAAAAGGTAAATAATCTTGTCTAGTGATGTTTAATTGCAAATTTGACGTCTCTACTGACAAAGTCGTCTTCTGTTGTTTGTTCACTTGAAGTGATACGATGTTGTTTTCTTACCCCTGGAAAAAAGTTTGACGAAAGCGTAACCCATGGATAAGACGGCCCCCTTCTACAGACTGCTTTTTTTGGTCCTCAAAATTCGGCTTATAGACGGTCATATACGGTACAAAGAATGATGTAACACAATAAACTGGTTGACATACGATTGGACCCAGAATAATCTCATTACAATCCCTCTTCATCCATAATTCGTCCCATACAGCTGTTTTGTCACGGAACATAGACAGCATAACCCAATACAGCACATACCCTGTCGTGTGAATCAATGCTGTTCTCCCACGTAACAACATTAGCAGTGTGCATAGCAACTTCATAAAGCTCCCAAGACAAATATCTGCTGTTGGTAAAATTAACGTCTGCCATGATAATAGACTGATTAAATTACCCATACCATTCAGCAGAGGGATATTTCCGAATGTGTTAACTGACTTACCAAGTGTGTGTATGTGCTGCTTTACTACAGTCAGCAATATTCCACCTCTTGCAACAAACAATAGACACAGAGGATTAATTCTACTACCCTTACTCCCCAGGTCTGAATCATCTAGTGTCTGAATCTTATTTAACATTGGGGGCGGTGGGGTAGCCTAGTGGTTAAAGCGTTCGCTCATCACGATGAAGGCCCAGGTTCGATTCCCCACATGGGTACAATGTGTGAAGCCTAATGATATTTTTGGTGTCCCCCGCCATGATATTGCTGGAATATTGCTAAAAGCGGCGTAAAACCAGACTCATTCACTCACTCACTCAATTGTTTAACATCACAGTCAGCAATATTTCATCTCTTGCAACAAATATTAAGGACACAGCAGATTAATTCTCCCACCACCCTTACTCCCCAAAGCAGATCTGAATGTTGCTTAACATTGCAGTCAGCAATATCCAGCAACATTCCAGTTTTTATAAGAAAAAATGGAATTCTCAAGATCCCCTCTTCCTACTGTATTTGAGACCCGTGAACATCCGAGGTTAGAATTGCTCTTCTGTAACCCATACTTGTGGTAAGAAGTGATTAACGGGATCATGGTCAGGCTTGCTGACTTGGTTGACAAATGCCATTGTATCCCAATTGCGTAGATCGATGTTCATTCTGTTCATCACTGTTATTGTCTGGTCCAGAATCGATTATTTACAGACCACTGCCATATAGCTGGAATATTGCTGAGTGCAGAGTTAAACAACCAACCAACCAACCAACCGACTACTGTAATGGTGAAGCTCTCAGTGACAACATGTTCACCAGAAAAATACTTCAACTTGGCATAGACACAGACAATAGTCCATTAGCTTAAGACTGGAAAATCCAGACTTGTTAGATGTGACCCCTGCTAACCATTTTAAGAGTGAGGATAGGTTCCTGCAGCTCTGAAAGTTGTCCTAGCTATATTCATGTTAAAACTAACAACAAGAGGAAGGCATAGTGTGTCCATTAGCAAACTGTCCTAATGGCACTGAAATTGGGAAATGTTGGTCATATTGTTCAATATTAGGATTTTTTAAAAAGGTTTTAGGTTCATAATATAAGATTTATTTTGACACTGCAATCAGTGCAAAAAGATGTAAACTTAAGCTTCATCCTCTTCATTGGTCCCGACATAAGTGAAAAATATGTCACCTCGACCGCATCAGTACTGTAACACGTCATGTTAAATTGAATTTTACTGACATAGGCTGCGGGCAAAGGACCCAAAATTTGCCTTTTAAAAGACAAGTAGTTGTCGTGATATATCCCTGTTATACACTGTCAAATCTTTCTGTGAACCCGAAGAGCATAGGCATGAGGTGACAGACCAAAGACCATAATTAGGAAGAGTCTGGGACTGATCAATGCTAGCTTGACTAAGAGACATTTGTAATCATAATCTTGTACTTGGAGGTGTAACTAGGCCACAAAATATATATAGTAACCATGTGTGCACACCTACATAAGTCCAGCACTGAAGCTGTATGTAGGATGTGCAGGGAGAGAAGGAAGAGCGTTACTGTCTCACTGTAGGAAGTGTACAACAGTCTCACCAACTGTCTCACTGTATATACAGTGACAGTATGTACAGTATATGTCCAACGGGTGTTCAGATATCTCACAGTAGGGTATGTACAACTGTCACAAATATTTCACTGCTGGGAGTGTACAAATAGCCCACTGTAGGAGCGTACAAAAAGCTCACTGTATGGAGTGTACAAATGTCTCACTGTATGGAGTGTACAAATGTCTCACTGTATGGAGAGTACAGCTAGGTCACTGTACAGTATATACAACTGCCTCACTGTACAAATAGACAATCTTGAAGTTGTCTCACTGTAGTGTGTTTACACATTTCACTGCAGGTCATTGCACAACTTCCACATACTCCTGTGACACACTCCAGCACACTTGTACAACAAAGTCTGGGATTGTTATATATAAGGTGTCTCTTCGTCATTGTTTTAGCCTGACCTGGCAGAGGAGCGGCACCTCCCTCTCTTACTAGATTGTTTATCACTAGTACTCAGAAAACTGAAAGTTCTACTTACCTACAAAGTCGAAGATGTTGACTTCTTCGACGGTGTCATGGACGAAGTATAGGTTCCCCAAGGCCTGCAATGAAACACAGCATGAACAGTGGGTGCCAACAATAGAATATATCAACCTGATGCAAACTCACACAAAGTTTGGACCGTCTCTTCCTCTTTCAGACACCTTTCAGAAAATCTGATCATTTTCAGATGACCTTTAAACAATCTGATTTACTCTCATGTACTTCTAATACCATCTGATCCACTCAGACACCTTTTAGACCATCTGCTCCACTCAGAAACCTTCCACACAATCTGATTCAACCTCAGTCATCCTTTTAGACACAGCGGAAAATAAAACATTCAAAAGTGAGTGAGTGAATACGATTTTATGATGCTCCTTTAGCAAAATTCAAGCAAATTATCACCGGAAATTAAACATTCAAGAGAAAACTAAAATCAGAAAAGCAGTAAAACTGAAATAACATTTATCATTCTCAACCTCAAGCGGTCTTTCCCTGGCACAGCAATGCCACTTACAAAGTAATGCTTAACAGCAGTGTTCACTTTGTGCTCATCTAATTTAGAAACAGTTACAAGAACATCCCTTTAATATTGTTGTACCCTTGTGGTTAAGTCCTATGACTCATGCATCATGTGCTCCAGCAAATGGAACACTTCTACATTTTAACATGAAAGAAAGACTCAGGATGAGAAGACCACTTCTTTTAATGGACCATACTTTTTCAACACACACAAAACTCTTCAGACACTCTTAAGGTTGGTAAGATGAGGACATTAACAAACATTAAAATGTTGAGGTAATTGAATCACTACATCAACATATGTTTCCTGGCATGGTGCCGAGATTGGTGTGATCACCTGTACGATCATTAACTGTGACACAGTGCAAGGCTGGGCAGTGTCGGAGAAGCACCTGCTTCCTACATCAAGGGAGCTCCTGATATTACCAGCCTACCTGATAATACTGGTGATAAATATCAAGGGTATCACATGCTACACATGTGAATGTGAATTAAAATTCATCCACCTTCTCTGAAAACTGTAAAATCATTTCCAAACAGTCAGTGATGAAAATCAGAGAGTATGGAGGGATGTTTCTTGTGTGTTGAAAAGATTATAGCATAGTACATTAGGCATATCAAATTACATTTCATTCACATGTCAGTGCCTATGTCTGAAGGTGTATTTATAAGAACATTATGCCTTATAGTTTGTTGTCTAATGCTGCACTCAGTAATATTCAAGCTATGTGAGTGAGTGAGTATGGCATTAATCCACTTTTAGCAATATTACAGCAATATCACGGCAGGGGACACCAGAAATGCGAGTGATGTGATAGTAGTCAAGAGTGTTAACAATTGAGTTTGGACCAAACAATCCAGTGATTGACATGTATGTCATTGCTTCTCATATGTACAGTGATCCTGAAATGACTACTAACTCCAAGTAAACTTAAAGATGTGTGATTTTTTTTCAATGTGAGGAAGGAATACTCAAATTTTTAAAATTAATTTCATGATTTCCATTAATTTTTAGAATATTCTGGTGAAAAACATAACAGCCTGGAAGGAGAATGGAGACAGCAGGAAGACACATGATCGACTGGAGCATGATGCATGCACTACATGAGCTTCCTGTGACTGCCTAGTACAAACGAGAAAGCTGGGGTGTGTTCCGGTGAGGTGTTTATAGAGGCTGAAAAGTTTAATGCCAGGTCATTTCCACTCCATGGTTGTAAGAACAAGAGAAAGTGCAGAACATAAGATAGGATCAATTTTAAAGATTTTATAGAATTAACTGAGCTGGGTGGAAAGGGATTGTGGATGTTCTGGTATGTTTAGATACAGGAAGTGACATCACCACAACCATAACAATTACTCCATCCATCATCAACCAACACAAGTGTGTACAATTTTCAGGTAAAAGATGCCTGCAAAATGGTTTTATTTCCAGGAAGACACTTGTCAATGCAAGAACCAGCAGTCTCTCCATAACTCCAACATCAACCAACACAAATGTGTAATATAGGTTCCACCAGATAACAGTTTGGTCTGACTATGGTCTAGTGAAGAAGGTACTTGTAGATAATAAACATGGCTGTGGTACTGGTAGACTGAGAGAACAGACCCATAACTTCCTCCAGACATGTGTGTGAACCACTGAACTAGATAACTGGTTATTAACAATGTACAGCAAAGACTATTGCTGGTTACACTCCAAGATGGTAAACCATTTAGGATTTATCCGGTGTTACGATACTTGTCTGTGACCTTCTTTTTCAGAAGCGAAGTAAGCTTGGATGGTTTTATGATAGTTTCAGCTATATTCCAGTAACCATATCAGTGGTGGAAATAACCCATTGCCCGACGTCCGAGTCCAGTTCTTTTTCTGTCGGGCAAGCAAATTTGTATATCACACTGTACCGGTGTCCAGTTGACTTTCCAATGTTAATTATGTTGTTTATTTAAAAAATCAACAAGAAAACGGTCGGTATAGTGGAAAAATTATCAGGGCAAGTGACTTTACATGTGCGACTGTACCGGAGTATACTAGCAATTTTAAAGTTATTTCCACCCCTGCATATAAAAGAAATGATGCCACAATGCATCAGGCTGGGAATCAAACCTAGACCTGTGGCTTCATGAGTGAATGCTTTAACCTCTGGGATACTCCAATGCCCATTAGACATGTATATAAACATGACAAGTTTTCATAGTAGTGCTTGTTGGTCCCTGCCTGGTGCTCGGCATTAATGGGTACAACAAGGACTGGTCCGCTCGGAGTCAGTAAAATGTGTCTGAGTGGGGTATTCATGCTTCACTGCGGCATGTTATCTCAGTGGGCTAGCACTATAAAACCAGCTTAAGTCTGGGCTAGTACAAGCAGCTGCACATACACACACACACGCATGCACGTCGTCATATGAGTGAAATATTCTCAAGCACGACGTTAAACCCAATTTCACCTCACCTCACCTCATAGTAGTGAGTTTTTCAAAAGTCTTTTATAAAACCTATTCCTGTTTCATTATTATTATTTGTTTTAGAAAAAAACAACTTCACACAAATCGTAGGGGAACTAGTGCAAATATCCCTTATCACAACCCTCTGTATTGTCTACATCATCTGGATGGCATTGGGGTTGTCATTTGAGTCTTACTGTGATGTGAGATTAATATTGGTATGATGTCACACTGGAGACAATACCTGGTGGCTGAAGATTGCTGATGCTATTTGAGAATTGAGGTTTTGTATGACCGCTGACAGGATCACTAAATATTTCTGAAGGGGAACTTGGATGGATTAAGAAAAAATGGTAAAGGCCAGGCCAATTTTATTTCTTGTTTTACAGATTTTTGTCCTCAGATAACCTAAAGGCAGGAGGGAAAAAAAAAAAAAATAAAATCACCAGTCAAAGTTATATTCCTGCTAAATATTTAAAGTATTTTACTTTTGGTAATTTGGGAAGTGTATATGGGGCAAAAAACAATAAAAAACCATTTTCTTGTAAGTTTACATTATTGGCCCATAAAAACATTAATTTTTAATTTTTTTCTTATTCTTGAAAAAATACGACTGGCAGATCCGTAAAACAAGAAATAAAATTGGTCTGGCCTAATATATAAAATATTACACGCACATGAGTGTTTTGCTGATTCTAAGAAACTTGTATAAATATTGAGGAGTTACCCTAGCTCTCGGGTACTTAGTAACAAACCTTTTACTTGCTTCAGGAAATCAGTATATCATGCTCATACAAAACTCTGTACTTATGCATCAGTCTCAGTAGCTACCAGTTCCAGAAATGTGTCTCTTCTGGTAAGATGACTCCTACAATCATCATTTAGACCACCAACAATTGCAGTGAGAATTCATGGTCTTATGACACTTTTCAAACCCCAGAGACAAAAGCGCTTCAATGGTAATATTCATTGAAATATTTTGACATACCAATAACTGTTGGCCAGCATTTACAAACAACAGAATGAAAGTGTAACAGTCATGTTTTTACAAACAAATCCACCTGTGGCTGTATCCTGAAACAGAACACGACTGACACATTACGAGCAAGGTCTGTAAGGGAACTGTCAAATTACCAACAGGACAGCAAGCAGCCTGCCCAATAAACTGGTTACATGAGGCTGCAGCTACTAGGTGATGTCAAGAACCTAGAGTCGGGGACAGATGCACAGTCCCCAACAATCCTGATCAATAGAGTCCAGCTAGGGGCATGATGCTGTTTTGTCTTGACTAGGATTCCTGTGGCTGTGAAGGAAGCTTACTGCATCAAGATACATGCTGCTGAGGAAACGTAATCCTCGTAACTTGTAAATTATTGTCTGTTCTGGCTGAAGCATGGCTTCTGGGTGATGCAGGTTGAGATGCAGTGATTTAAACCTCAACTCCCTTGTACTATTGAAATGTTAGTGGGTCGATGGTCAGGTGGGTGGGTAAGTCAACAGGGGTTCGTAAGAGTGAGTGGGTTGGTGGGTGGGTATGTGTATTTGTAAGAGTGAGGTGGGTGGTTATGTGGGTTTGTGAGAGAGTAAGTGGGCCTTATGTGTATTCGTAAGAGTGAGGTGGGTGGTTCTGTGGGTTTGTGAGAGAGTGAGTGGGTAGGTGGGTGGGTGGGTATGTGTATTTGTAAGAGTGAGGTGGGTGGTTATGTGGGTTTGTGCAGAGAGTGAGTGGGTGGGTGGGTGGGTGGGTATGTGTATTTGTAAGAGTGAGGTTGGTGGTTATGTGGGTTTGTGTGAGAGTGAGTGGGTAGGTGGGTGGGTTCATGAGTGAGTAATGTGTAGACAAGTGTGTAGGTCACCGTGGTTTCATGAGTTGTGTGGATGGGTAGGTGGTCCTGGCTAAATAGGTAGGTGATTACAGTTATGACATCTATATGTTAGTTAAATATATAACATCTTATAGTTCTCTCCATTAGAATAGTATTGGAACTCATTTACCACTTGTCCAATAGGATCAAACAAAAACTGACACCTCCTGCCGAAGAAACATGTTTTGGTTTGAATTTCTGAATGCTCATTCATTATCTCAACAAAGCTGA